AATTTTGATAATCTTAGGTATCAAAGCTTATCTATCTTGATTGCACTCTCTGTTTACCTTATCTATATCTTCCAACCATCAATCAACGAGTAGGCGGCTAGGCGCACCATTTCCATTGCCTCTGAAGCCGATCTCTGGTTTTACCAACCTTCTATTGTTACCACTCTCTGTACACAATGGAAGGTTCCTATCATTATTGTTACCTTTCAGATTCAGTTCCTATCATTATTTTTTTTTAAAAATCCAGTTGTCATTTTTTAAACCCAAATATTCTGAAGATCGAATAGACCAAACTGAATTACCCGAAAGCCAAAATGACTGTGTAAGGAAAATGGACCCTAGTCCCATTTACTTTGGATTTTGGTGTTTGATGACCAACACAACCAAATTGGACTAAAGAATTTGCCAGTGTTTGTTTTGTAGTTCAATAGGGTGCAAGACGTGACTTGGACGAAGGCGACGTGATGATCCGATGATCAACACCATAAGCAAGACCTTAGAAGCACAAGAGAAGACCCAAGATATCAAGCAAAGTCTAAAAAGATATCAAGCAAAGTTTGCTTGCCAAAATGGAGACCATGTCCAAACATTATGATGAACTAACAAATAAAGTTGCTAATCTTGAAGCCGTTGGTACAACCCCCACCAAGGCATCTAAAAAGAAAAGTTCTATCTTTAACATGCCTAAAAAGGATGCCTCTATTTCTTGCAATGATTTATATTTAGACTCACCCTTGTGCAACTAAGTTTGTGTTGAGAAAGTTGTTATAGATACATGCACACAAGAGGTTGCAATGGAGAATGAGCAACTCAAGCAAGAAGTGGCTCGCCTCACCAAGGACTCGACACAAGTGAATGGCAAGGCGAAGCAAGCCCAACTTCATCAAGATAACACCATTAAGGGAGTGAAGAAGCTTGATGAAGGACAATCTGTGGTTTGCTATGTGTGCCATAAAGAAGGTCATAAATCCTATGAGTGCAAGGTGAAAAATGGGGGAGGAGCAAAGAAGAAAGAGAAGAAACAAATAAGCAAGCTCTCCAACACCTATACCAACAAGGTGGACAAAAAGGCCTCCACACCTTATCTTTTGAAGAAGAAGAAAAATGACAAGGTGGTAGCCGTCAAGGTGAACAAGCAAGCCAATAATGGGGTCAAACATTTTTGGGTGCCAAAGGAAATCATTTCCAACATGAAGAGCACCAAGAAGGTTTGGATCCCGAAAGGGAAGTGAGAAGTCCGATGGACTTCGGGGAATTTGGAGACTTGGTAAAGTTTGGATGCATTTCATGGGGTGCATCATGATGGACAAAATAATTGCCAAGTGGGTTAGTGAATATTATAGACCCAAATTTCCCTTCCCATGTTAGGTAACTAGATTCAATTTTCTTCAAATAGTATCAATTTGCATTTCCTATAAGTGATATTTCTTATAAATTGGCATCTTTAAGCATTTAGTTACTTTTCATGCCTATATTTGTATTTGTATGCTTATATCTTTTGTCATGCATACACTAGTTATATCTTATGGTAGGCTTGCTCAGTTTCATTCTTAACCCTTAGAGCAAACCTACATGGTTTAAAATTGTTTAGGAGCACGGCACATAGCTTGTCTTTCGATTGTTCATCTAATATGTGCCAAAGTCCAAATTGTAGATAATTTCTCCCGAATATCGCATTCGAAAATGACTCTCACATTCATGTGATGTCATCTTTCAAGTGGTATTTTTAATTCTAAAATCAATGTACATGTTTCTTACAAGTATTTCATACTTGTGTGCACAAATTTAGGGAGATGTTACTCTACAAGTTGAATGCTTTGAGATTAACACATTTTCAAGCTTATCATGTGTGTAGTAGTCTCATTGCAAGAAAAATAGAGTCCCCGGAGTTAAGCATCATACTTCAAATATCCACCACCTATTGCAAGTGGTAGAAATCAAATTGGCTTCATCATGTTGATTTCATTTTGATATTTATATGCTTTCTCCATGCATTATATAGATTAAATTCCCTTGAGCAAAAATTTACCAATTATGCATATGCTTTGCCTTCTACCATATGTATGCATATATTTAGGGGGAGCTTAGTCTATATAATGTGAGAGTCAAATTTTGTGACATATTTCACTCTACATACAAAGGATCACAATGTTTGACCATCTCTTGTGCTACTAATGTCTTCCTTTTCGGTGTTTGATTTCAAAGGGAGAGAATTTAGAGGACCAAAAGCAAGCATTAATTTGTAGGACGAAAAGGTAGATCATAATAATTTACAAGTGGTAATGGTCTATAAGTGGTAATGGTCCGAGAAAGAAAGGATAGTAGATTATGGATTAGCCTATGCAATGGGGAGAATTTGTAGGAAGCAAGGCTTATATCTATAATGCCATATGGGGGCATTTGCAAGGGCAAGATAAGTTTTTATGTAGTATCTTTTAATTCTACAAGTAGTATCTTTTAGCATTATATAACTTTGCCCCTTACATTACATCCTAGCAAGTAGGTAGTTTTTAATTTTTAAAATTCTATTATTTGCTTGCTTTAGTCGTATTGTCATCAATCACCAAAAAAGGGAAGATTGTAAGGAAAATAGACCCTAGTTTCATTTACTTTGGATTTTGGTGTTTGATGACCAACACAACTAAATTGGACTAAAGAATTTGTAAGTATTTGTTTTGTAGTTCAATAGGCTGCAAGACATGACTTGGACGAAGGCGACGTGATGATTCGATGATCAACACCATAAGCAAGACCTTAGAAGCATAAGAGAAGACACAAGATATCAAGCAAAATCTAAGCACGAAGATAGGAACCAAGCCGGACGCAAGATCGCGAAGAAACGAGCTCACAGAGGTGACCGGACGCTGGACCAGACGCTTCGATCAAGAGGCTCGGCAACAGCAGCGTCAGCAGCAGCGACCGGACGCTGGATCGGACGTTGGATGCCAAAGTCCGGTCAACATCAGTAAGGTTCCAGAGAGCCGTTTTCGTGACCGGGCGCGTCTGGTCAGTGCTGACCGGACGCTGGTCAGTGCTGACCGGACGCTGGTCAGTAACAGAAAAGCGGAATTTTGTCCTCAATGGATACTTTCTCAGTGGGGCTTATAAATAGACCCCCAACCGGCCATTTCAGGAGTGTCGAGTTGAGGAAACATATCAATGGTGTTGATACACTATTTTAGTGATCTCTATTTGCATAGTGCTTAGTGATTCATTAGATGATTAGTATAGGTACTTTGCGAAGTGCTTAGGTTGATTAGACCACCAGTTATACGCTTGCTCTAGGTTTAGGCCTAGTGTTTAGTGAGGTTTGCATACCTCTTACCACTCGGTGCTTGCGCGCACCATTGTTGTACCACTCGGCACGTCGGAGACTCACTTGCGCGTGGGAAAGGCCCAAGGCTATCCATGGAGTTACCCGACCGGGAGCTTGGCCCTTGCGAGGAATTCCTTGCGAGGGGCTCCAACGAGGACTGGGGAGAAGCTTGCGCACTTCTCGATACCTCGGTAAAAATACCAGAGTCGTCAACGAGAGTTTGCATATCTCTGCCTTGCTCTTTAGCTTCCGTATTTACATTGTTTGTATTACTCCTTTTACGGTAGAGATAGCAACACACTAGCAAAATTATAGTTGCACATTTAGATAGTATATCTTTTACATAGCTTTTGCTAAAGTTAAAAAAAAAAGCCATAGTTAAAAAGTATATTTTTAAATTGTTTAATTCATCTCTCTCTTAGACGTCACGGTCCCTATAGACTGGACGATGATGGAAATGAAATGGCAATGATACTCTGATTTGAATCCCTGCACGAAACTCGACAAGAATCTAGTAGACGCCGCCCGGCGCCGGGGCAGCTCGCCATGTGGGCACACCGCGCGCACCGCACGCCCATCTTCTCTCTCGGACGATAAAAGAAGCGAAGCGAAGGTGGCGTGTCCAGTGTCCAGGGGCCCCGCCACGGCCAGCTTCCAAAGGGAGCGAGGACTGAGCAGAGCAGCTCGAAGGGAACGGAAGCAGCTGGAGCTGGTCACTCTCTCGCACGTTGGGAAGGCAGCTCCCCCACCCAGCCCCATGCGTGGTCCTACAAAAGCGCGGCAGATTTGCTTTGAACTCGCAAAGACAGAGAGCAAAGAGCAAAGCTATCAGGAAGCCACAGAGATAGATGGAGAGAGAAAGAGATATTAAAGAAGAGCCAAGAGCAAGGAAAGCGAGCAAGCGAGCAAAGCGCCGAGCAACGAAAGAAGAGAAGCCAGCGAGGACCGGGTCTGTTCGGCTGTCATTATAAATCAGCTTATCAGTCATCGTATAATATTTTTCTCTCTTAACAAATTAGCTATATAAATCAGCACATGCGACTTATAAACTAGTCGACCAGAGCCGGAGGAGATAAGATAAGAATGTTTACAAAACCAACAAGCAGGATCCGATCCATGCCACGTCACAGATACCCACACTCACACTCACACACTACACGCCACGCCACGCACTGTGCATGCCTTCCTCCGATCCCTGGGATCATTGATCGCCACCTGCGTTGGCATCCTTCCTTCGTCATCATGCTGCTCTGAGTCTGCTCTGTGCTCCGCCCTTCCCTTCTCTCTGCTTTTTCTGCGCCACCGGCTTCTTCATCATATAGCTCGGAGCTCCTCAGCGCTGGTAGTGCCTCTGCTTGGCATTGGCAGAGCGACAGGTGACGCCATTGCCAGCTTCTGACCTTCTGTTCCTCCTTCCTCGAGAGAGCGAGAGTATTCGGTTTTGGATTTGAGGCGGTGCATTGCAGGGATCGGAGAAGAAGCGAAGCCAGAGGGAGCGCGCGCTCTCTATATGGGAGCAAGGCCAGACAGGTCGCCGGGGGCTGTGGAGTGCTGCGGCAGGCTGCTACAACTGCTAGCGTTCGTCTTCTTCTTGGTCTGCGCTTGCCTCGTGATGGCCATGGTGGCCACGGACGGCGGAGTGAGCTTAGCATCGTCGTCGAACGCCGCGACCTCAGCGGCCGCCATGACGACGGGCGGCTCAGGCGGACGCGGCAGGACGGCCGACGCAGACGCGTTTCGGAGCAGCGAGAGGAGGATCCCCAAGGGGCCTGATCCTATTCACAACAGGTACCTTACCTTGATGAGTGCATATGCGTCCATGCACTTATGATTATCGTACAGTTATCTGTCCATGCATTGGTACTAAACAGAAAATGGAAAGTTTTTTTAGTACTAGTATAGGTTTCAATTTATCTTAGTAGTACTACATTACAGGTACTTCTGCCCAAACTGACAGTTCACTCATACACTGAACAAATGACCATGGTGAATGAATCTATATGTTTTCTCAGAGGGGAAAAAAATATATATGTATACTGTCTCAAAGAAATTTACAAATGACTGGCACATTTAAAAAATCCTTAGCTCCTAGTGTGAGCTTTGTTGCTACTACTTGCATTTTGCTGCTCTAGAAGCAGAGGAATTCCTAACACAGTAAGTCAGTAACACCAGAGGCCAGCCCAATGGTTCCTTATAGTGATACATGTGTCTGCTGTTGCATTGAAGAGTTCTTGGATTCTTCTTTGTAAGTTTTGGTCCTTTTGTCAAAGCAGACTGAATGAAGAACAAAACGAGTGTACTCCTACTGAGCAAAGCAACCCACTGAAGAAGCCACTTTACTGACAAGAGAAGCATTATTGTTAGTAATAGTAATACTCACACCTAAATAGGAGTAAGCTTCTAGTGCTGGGACCTTATCCACCTTGGCCTTGCTTTTGGGCTCAGCTAGCTCGACCAATGATGAAGTAAGTAGGAGAAGTATCAGGGACACGTGATTAGCAATAGCAAGGCAGTGCAGTCGTTACTGTACCTCAGTACCTCACAAGGAAAGAACCGCCTTCCTATGTCAGTGGGTCTCACTCTCACAGGCCACAGTTCAGTGCACTTTTTTTGTTTGTTTGGAATCTATAGTAGATGATGACAGGCACACATAGTTAAACATGTAATGATGCAAACGTATTAGGCCCGCCCTGAATCAACACCTGATGCTCACCTTCGTTCTCCTCGGTTGGGAATGCGCTGCCTGCAGGCGTGCCGGCAAGACGACGATCGTGCCGCGCCGGAGAGACTAGCCGGAGGCCGGGGAACTACCACAAAAGCTACCACCGGAAGGTTCCGCCGGCGCTCATCGTCCTGCAGCATCGAGCGTTTGGATGGGAAGGATGAGCTACCTGACTTGCAGTTCGTTAGCCACGCCGAAGATGAGATTAGTGCAAAGAGGTTAATTACGCAGCAGCACACTCCTTCGATGGGGATTTTGGTGATTCTAGGGGTATGTATAAATCTGCAATCTGCCCTTGCAAGATTTTCTGCTTTTCCTCTTTCACCGAGGTGGTGAGTGAGGCTGATCAACATTCTATTTCGCATATTCTTCCGAGATTTTGATTTCAATCTGTGGCCATTGGTTCCATTTCTCCTTCTGTAACCATGTTGTGCGTGTGTGTGTGCGTGTGTAAGAAATCCAGAAAACCGAAGCTGCCGAATTGGGCAGCGTCCTTTTTCCTTGCCTGCCTTCAGCTTGTTCTAGCTGCAACGGCAAGTCAGCAAGTGTGTGCCATGATGTTTGTACATGCAGTGCTGCGCTGTGTGTAACTGTAAACCATGCTTTGTTTGTGGTTCGAATTATGGGCAGCGCATTATGCGTAGTCGGAATTCGGAAACTGGTGAAAGCGAAAGAGAGCACCTGTATGCAGATAGTAAAGCAAAGCATCGATGCGCACGGCTTGTGTTTGTGCGAGTGCGCGTGTGCCCTGCCGTACGTCAGTAAGTGCTTTTGCCCCTTTTACTTCTTTTGTTGCAGGCAGGCAGGCAGGCAGGCTACTATACACCCCTCCTCCTCCTTTTTTTTGAAGTGTTCGAGGAGCAAGAAAAGAAAAGAACTGAACTGAACACACCGTTAGATTCCCGTCCAGGATCAGTTCGAAGCAGCCGCCGCTTGTTGGCTCCGACGGTACTACACCGTGTTAAAAAAAATGCAGAACCATCAGATCAGAATGTCGCCAAAAAACAAATGTCAGAAGCATGGTGCGTGCGTGTCCAACAGGCCAGGAGGCAGATCACCGCGGCAGAGTGCAGTGCAGACGCGTGCGCGGGCGGCCCGGCAGCGAAGGACAGACCTCGTGGGATTGACACGGTGGTGGGCGGGCGAGGCTGGTCTCGGCGTCCTGGGCTGTGAGTGTCTTGCGTTGCGTTCAGCGCCACACGAGAGTCGTGAGCGTGGCTAGGCCCAGCCCAGCCCAGCCCTTGGCGAGAAAAACAGCCGTGCTCGCCGGGCCCAAACCCAAGGCTTGTGCCAACAAACCCAACTGCCCGCCCGCACGGGCGGCTGTCAGTTTTAGGTCTCCTACCAACATTTAGGGACTTCGGAATGCCATAATTTTTTTGTTACCCGTGTGTTTATTAATTGGGCACCGCTAGCACGCGGGCGTCCGACGCCCGCGGCTACAGTCGGTTTCCCCTCTGTTTCGCGCGTCTATACACGTGGGCTCGTGCCGCCCAGACATCGCTCGACCGCGCCTGCATCACCCGCGCCCATGCGGGGTCCGCGCCGCCCTAACATCACCCGGACGGGGCCCGCTCACGCCTTCTCCCGCTTCCCACGTGCATCACATGTGCAACACTCGATCTACTTTTAAAACATCCAGATACAACACTTACAACATAAAAAAAAGACAAATGAAACATTTGAAACATACATCTGAACACTTGCAAAAACAATTGAAAACATTTGCAAACATACACAACATTCAGACAAAACACTTGCAACATATGTATGAAACATATGCAACATCCAAATAAACACGCTTGCAACATATATTTGAAAAAAAACAAATGAAACATTGGGAACAGACACTTGCAACACGTGTACAACCATTGCAACATACATGCAACATCTCGATCTACTTTTGCAACATCCGTGTGAGACACTTCAAACATACCTCTAAAACATTTGAAACATTTCACATGTACACTTGCAACATGCCTCATATCCCAGTGCAGCCTCCTCCGCCGTCTACACCGGGATGCTGCATCCGTAAAAGGCGGCGAGGCTAGGGGGCTTCCGCGCCAAGGCCCGACGCTTATCCTTTCGCTTGCGGCACCTGTCGGCATCGCCGGGCGGAGTGGGCGGCGGAGCAGGAGCAACAACAGGAGCAACGAGCATGGGCGCGCGAAGCAGCGTTAGGAGAAGCGGGGCGGACGCGCGGAGCAGCGTCAAGAGCAGTGGGCGTGGGCGCGCAGAGTAGCATCAGGAGTAGCCGCCGGAGTAGCGGGGTGAGCGCACGGAGCAGCGGGCGCGAGAGCAGCGGCAGGAGCTGCAGTAGGAGGAGCGTGGCGGGCGGCGGAGTGGGAGATGGATGAATTGACTGGATATTGTGGAGTGGGGGATGGATGAATTGACTGGATATATTAAACAAAGGTTGTGTCACATGGCCCCACGCCCGCGTCCGTCCGATACTCGAGTAAAGAGTCGGACGCTCGGATCGAAGAATTACCATTTTTAAATGATCCGGAGTTTCTAAATAATCCTGTGAAATTCCTGAGTTCTATAGGGCCCTTAGAGCATCACCAACCAGTGGCAAAGTAAGAACGAATTAGGGAGGGGAGATGGGGGTGCACTTGCAAGGGCTGAATTGGAAACTTGTCAGATTTTGCCCCACCCAACAAATTTAGAGTGGTGGGCATGTTTAGGTAGTCTGCTGATATGCTATTATTATCCCTTCTATGCCTATTCCTTTCCATCCCCGATTAATTCCCCCATATGCCATTACCATCAGCTCTGTTTGTTGGTAAACTTCTCTATTAGAGCTAGGATCCTTGTCAGTATTCTATGATAATAACTAAAATGCGCACCCTTGATGACTAGCAGAACCCCTCGCTATCACAAAACTCAGATTTCATGAGGACGGAGAATTTTCATGATAGTAATAAACACACCCACACGAAGATCTTGTTTGGCTAGGCTACATCTGGCTTTGACACCATAACGGAGCTAGTACGTGGAGCCCAGAAACCTTGACTTTGAGGCCCCAATCGGGCCGTATTTGGCATGGCTCCCAGGGGCTCCGGCTCTTCCTCAAAATCACTGCAGCGACACTGTAGCATGGAGCCGTTTCGGATTTCGAGGTAAAAATGAACTGAGAAGAGGAGAAGCCGGTGGAGCCACGATTTGGAGCTTCTCCGGCTCCTCGCTACAGTACACCTACAGTGCATGAGCCGGAGCCCCTAAGAGCTATGCCAAACACGCTCTAACTCAATTTGAGTGGAGCTAGAGCCACTATACAGTGCACCATAGTACCAGGAGTAGAGGAGCCAGAGCCTAGCTAAACAAGAACGAATATGTTCCTAACAGTTAACTACTATGCTAATTGATTTTCGTGACGTTTGTTTTGACTACCATTATTTAGGGGGTGTTTGGGACTGTTCCGCTCCACGTTCTTTAGCTCCGCTCTACGTTTTTTAGCTAAACGGTTTTAGCTCCACGCGCACTCTATTTGAGGAAAAATAGTGGAGTTATGAGAGCAGCTAAAGATGTGCTCCACAAACTTCAGTTTTTTTGTAGAGCTGCTCCACGGTGGAGTTTGTGGAGCAGTCCCAAACACCCCTTAGTTTCATGGCAGTTTTGGACACTTTTGTGACAACTTTTGACCCTCACAAAATCTCTGCTTTCTTCTGGTTCAAACTTGCTATAGGTAAGCATAATATATTGCACAATTCATAGAGGTACCCCTATGTTGGTATGGAAATAATAAAAAACTATTATCTATACGCACATATATATTGTACAATTCATAGATATAATGTAGTAACATATACATGTGTGGATGTGGATAGTGTCATCATGAGGAACAATGATATACACGCATAAGTACAATACGCAATTGCAGCTATGTAGGAGTATGTATGCTGGCATGTCCTTAATTTTTGCTTAACAAGTGCGAGACTTCGTACTTAATTGATTTGTGAGTAACTGAGTATGGTATTCAAAGCTAAGAGGTCCATTTGTATATTGTACATTTGCACTAGCTAGACCTGACCATGTTGGGTGTTGCCAGTTACGTAGGTGAACTGCAAAGGAATACATGCTGTAGTTAGTAGGGCCACAGCTAATCAGACAAAAGCTTCAACACATCCTGCAACAGCGCACAGAAACTGCAACTCGTTTTTAACTTGGATTAGTCATGCCTTGCACTCTCGCAGTGAGTGAGCGACTAGCTAGGCAGTGTGCACAAGTCCCACCACAGATTCACGATGAGCTTAAGCGTAGGTTGCTCACACAGTGTTCTCAAGAATGTGTTCACAGTCGGCACCATAGACCCGTTGGATTGTAACCAACAAACCAGCTAGATTGCCCAATACCTCCCAATTCCAGCTTGCAGAACACTAGTCTATATGCATTTTGACTGCTATTGGGCGGCATCCATGGTCCATAGACCTTATCCTTGTCGCTCTGCGGCTTGTTCGGTTGGTTCGTTCGTTTCGTTGCTGGTTCGTGAAGAAGTACTGCTGGCTGGTTTGTTTGAGAGAAAAATACTGTTTACGATAAGCCACAGCCAAACGAACATGCTGCTGATCACTGCCCTCCCCCATTCTCGGTTCTCCCTCGATCGACCGATGGAAAAGGCAGTTCTAGTTGTACAATACTAGTTTTAACTTGGGAGTATATGTACACAGAAGCATGTAAAGACTATTTATGGCTGGGTGTCAATGCGCTGAGCGCCTGAGCCACCCAATAATGCCTGTGACCATGTGTTATTCAACTTTATTTTATAAAAGTACAACAAGCTTACATCTACACTACAGGAAACACGTGATTTGCCGAGTGCAAAAATCTTTATCGAGTACCAAATTTCGGGCACTCGGCGAAGACCTGCTTTGCCGAGCGCCGCACTCGGCAAAGATCTGCACTCGGCAAAGGCTGTCTTTGCCGAATGCCTGCACCTCGGCAAAGATTGGTAGGGGCCTAACGGCATCCAGCGGCGTCCTCTTTGCCAAGTGCCCCCCGTTTGGCACTCGGCAAAGAATTTATTTAGCCGAGTGTCAAAACTTGGCACTCGGCAAAATCTGAGATGTCCTGATTTGTGAGCATCGTACGTGACAACGTGTTCGAAACTTTTTCAAAATTTTTCCACAGCATACGCATATGATACGGCGACAACTCGACAAGTTTCATGATTTTTGGAATTCGTTCGCATTTTATACAATTAAAAAACCACTCCCACGCAAGTTGGCGGCGTTGCCCCGTGAGCACGTTGATCGAAATTTCGAGACAGTTCCTGGATTTAGCCTAAATTTACACTAAGAAACAAGGATAACATTTTTTTAACGAATGTAATCCATTATTCGATGCACCTGCAGTTCAAACTTACATTTTCCGAAAAAATTCAACAAAACAAAATAAACTATAGAAATATGCCAAAATGCAATGAAAATGTCCCAAATTTAAACATGTTGTTTGTGGTAGTGTACTAAAGCTTCAAAAAAAATTGGTGACAAAAAACCAAAAATAAAATTATTTTGCCGAGTGCCGCCCAGTTGGCACTCGACAAAGAGCTGCTGATTTTTTTAAAACTTCGCCGAGTGCTAGATCACGACACTCGGCGAAGAAAATTGACTTTGCCGAGTGACGTCGATCTGACACTCGGCAAAGCCGCCCTTATCCCTTCACCCGCGCCCGGCCGGCATGCTCTCTCTCTCTCTCTCTCTCTCTCTCTCTCTCTCTCATTTCTCTCTCCCTCTCACCTCTCTCTCCCTCAGCCGCTGCCGCCGCACATCGCCGACCCGCGCCTCTGCCCCGGCCACCGCGCCTCCCCACGCGGGCCCCGCGGCTCTCGTCTCCGTCCGCCTCCCTGGCCTGGCGCCTCATGGCCCGTCCCGTCGCCTCGCCTGTGGCCGCCCGCCCCCAATCCACCTCCCTGCGCCGGGGTCTCTCGTGGGCCCGCCCGCCGGCCTCCCGCCTGCGCGCCCCCCCCTTGGCGGCCACCTCCTCCGCCCTCTCGCGCCCCCTCGTGCCACCCTCCCCGTCGTGCCCCTTGCCCCCCACGCCCACTGCAGAAGAGAGGAGGAGGAGGCAGGGGAGAAGAGAGGAGGAGGGGAGAAGAGAGGAGGAGGAGAAGGAGAGGAGAAGGAAGGTGTCGGCCTAGGCCCGTCGACCCTCACACGGCTGCGGTTGTCCCC